CCCCCCCCCCCCAATATCTACTTATTTTTAGCCCATTTCATCAGAGGTTTGGACTGGGTTTCCATCTCTTTGATTCAGTTCTGGGCCTTTGCCTTGGGATGAAGTGTGAGCACAGGTGCTGACAGTAGGGGGTCAATGCTTGGTCATGACAGTGGCGTGCGGACTTCCTGAGTGTCAGGGCCTGAAGCTCTGGCCAGGCGTCAAACCAACCCTAGGAACTACCCTTGCAGCCCCTCAGCACTACCTCCAACATCCCTTCTGACTTGGAGCTGGTCGCTGCTTCCCAGGCTGTTTCCTTCCGAGGTGTGGAAAGGGGGACATCACAGCCTTATTTCTAGTCCAGGTGGTCAAAAGTTGGAGGAAGACCTTGGGGACCATCAGCGTTCTAGGTCTCAAAGACAAGCATTCTTCAGAGAGAATGCCTGAGGATGATGTCCTAAACTGGAAGCCTGAGAGACCCCCACGGATCCTGGTCCCCTCTTGAGAGCTTAGACTCGGGTCACCCGCCGCATCTCCAAGCCTCCAGTCCACACAGGATTTTCTCCTCATCCCACGGGGACCTTTCTCTACTGGCGTGGCTACAACATTCAGCGAGGGGCCGCGGTCAGCTCTGAGGTCCCGCTTGGCTAGGGGCGGAGACCTCAGCTAGTTACCCAGGGAGTACGAGTCAGGCTGCGGGGAAGAAGGGGTTAGCCCGCCGAGGACAGCATCACGCAGGCCTCCGTCCCAGCATGCTGATTGGCCTAGGTCTTACTAGTCCTGCTTGGGGATTGGTTACCAGGAGCGCGCCGCTGGCCACACCCCGTTCCCAGCCCCCGGCTTTCGGGCCGGTAGCGGCCTCCTCCAGCCTGAGCCGTAGGACTCGCGACCACCAGGCCGCTAGCCCATCAATGGAGCTGTCAGAAGCGTCCGGGTGAGTGCAGGCGGGGCCTCCGTCCCGTGTATCCGCGTTTGCGTATGTGTCCGCGAGGCGTGGACCTCCCCTTGGCCTTCGCGCCGTACCCCCCCCCCCCGGGTCAGCTCAGCAGGGGATCACCAAGTCTTGTTCAGGGACTTCCCGCCTGCAGCGCCTTGGTTTACCGTTTTGCCGATTTTCTCCAGGCGGCTGCCCTTCAGCGGCGAGGGATGGGGCGAGAGCCGGTTTGACCCCAGCCCCTGTGGGCTATGCCGAAAGCCGCTCAAGCGCAGCGCGAGGGCTGGCCCTGGGCCGCAGGGAGGCAGCTGCGTACGGAGGAGCCCTGTTCCCAGGATGTGCTCCGGATGGGGTGCGTTGGGGCGGGAGGTCCCTGCAAGAAGTCTCGGGGCAGCTGCGTTCACCCAGCAGTACTACAGACCCGGGACTGAACTTTCCGGTGCCCTTAAAGGGAGGGGCCGGGGACCTAGGCTCCTCCCTCACAGCGCTGGTCTTGCAGTCGGGGGAGGGAGCCCTATAAGAAGACCTGAGTGACTCACGGGGGAGGGGCGAGGGGGCTCAAAGATCTTCGGGAGACTGCAGAGCCAGCAGTCTCTGAGGATCTTCTTTGCACCCGCTCCTTTACCTCTTCCAAAGGGACATCCAGGTTAGAGTCCTTTCTCAGGTGAGTTCCTGCCCCTCAGGTAGGAGCCTGCTCCCCCAGGTCAGAACTTGCCTGGCTGCTGAAAGCTTTCACTGTGAGATTTTTTTTCCCATTCCTGGTAGGCGTCTCTGCTCCAGGTGAGAGAGCTTCCCCTAGGCTAGAGTTTTCTCTCTAGATGAGAGATTTCCCTAGATAAGATCTTTCCTGGCAGCTGCAAATTTCCCAGCACATGAGAGTTTCCCCCAAGATCAGATTTCCCCCTCTGAGACCTCCTATTCCTGGAAAGATCTAAAATTCCTAGGTGAGATCTCACTCCCGCTCCAGGTGGGAGCTCCCCTCCAGGTAAGGTTTCCTCCCCTCCCTGACCCCCAGATTTCCTATTCCCAAATGAGATCTTTCCCTCACTTCAAGGGAGCCTCCTCCTACAGGTGGGACCCTCCCAGTAGGTGGGAGCCTTTCAAGTAGGTATGAACTTTCTCTCAAGTGAGATCTCCTCCTCCAGGTGGGAGCTTCTCCTTCCAGATGAGAGCTTCCCCTTCCAAGTGAACCAGCCCCCACTCCATCCCCCCACCCTTTCCAGTCCCAGAACTCCCAGAAGGTGAGAACCACCCCTTGGCTCCCCCCCACCACTAGACCTGACCTTGTATGTTAACCTGAATCCTGGGGGTAATGGTCCAGGGGCAGCCTTGACCCCAATAGTTTCCTTCTGTTAGAGAAGAGAGTCTCTTGTGGAGGCCTGAGATTTGGAGAGGGCGTTGCTCAAAGAACTGCTCCCAGAATTTACTGGATGCCTTTCCTGAGTATGCTTTCAGCCAGTCAGCACTGGGCTCATGGGGCAGTTTGATAAAAGACTCAAGACTGGTCGGGGATTGGCTCCGGGAAGGTAATGGGCTGGGAGAGGCAGTCAGCCTGGGGCCTGGACTGATAGAGCATTTAAGGCTGGGCAGGCCACACCTGGACTGGAAGTGTGCTTCAAGCTCATCCTCTATCTCTTCATAAGAGACTTTGGCCCAGCAAGAAACTTGTACCAGCCAAAGTCCAGCCTAGGCTCCAGTGTGGGTTTAGGGCCCACAGAGGGCAGCTGAAATTTGGACCTATTGCCCCCTCAGGGCCTGGAAAAGTCAGGCGGGTCCTTCCCTGGGCCAGATGGAGGTGTGCAGAGAAGCTGGACCAGAGGTACCCTCATAGTATCTCCCTTGTCTTGCCATCCAGCCCAAGGGACACGCAGGCACTGCTGTCTGCAACACAGACAATGGAGCTGCAGAGGTTAGACTACCGTGTGGAGCGGCCACTGCTAAACCAGAAGCAACTGGAGGAGCTGGGGCACTGGGGCCCAGCACCCCCAAGCCACCCGTGGCGGAGCTGGTTTAAGTAAGACCAAGGATGGGGAGTAGGACCTCTGGCATTGCCAGGTTTCCCCTATTCCTTATAACCACCCCTCATGCACCCAGGTGCTCCCGAGCTCGGGCCCGTGCCTTACTGTTCCGATACCTCCCAGTTTTGTACTGGCTACCCCGATACTCTGTGCGCGACTGGCTCCTTGGTGATCTGCTGTCTGGCTTGAGTGTGGCCATCATGCAATTACCACAGGGTGAGTTACCCTCTAACCCTTGACCCTTGGTTGGTGAACCTGCCCCTTCAAGGGCAGGTCTGGAAGCCCTGTAGTCTGGGACCTCTCCATCCTCAACCCTGGAGCCCAGACCTCTGCTCCTGGAACTCTGGCCCCTACCCCAGGGCTGGGTTCCCTTAACCTTTCAAGGTCCTGGCCTCCAAACTTGCGTTGCCACCATTTCATTCCAGGTCTGGCCTACGCCCTCCTGGCTGGCCTGCCTCCCGTGTTCGGCCTCTATAGCTCCTTCTACCCTGTCTTTGTCTACTTCCTGTTTGGCACCTCCCGGCACATCTCTGTGGGTGAGTAGAACAGCAGATTGGGCCCTGTCGGAGGATGCCCACATTCACCATGGAAGAAAGGGCAAAGGAGAGCTAAACAGGGCAGGGAGTTGGAGGAAGACGGCAGCAGTAGTGCTAGGCAGCTGGGAAGTTAGCCCCAGGATCATCCCCAGGTAGAACTGAGCTATTGACCGTGAAACCACAAATTCAGGGTACCTCAAGACCCTGGCTCCAAAACGATGTGAGGGTTGTGGGCCAGCTCTTAGGGGCCAGACACTGGGAGAGGCCTGACCAGCATAAGGGAGATAATGTTTCGTTTCTGACTCCACCCTTCATAAGAGGAGCAGTCTCAGGGCCAGTGGGTACAAGTGGGCCAATAGGTACTGCCCCTTGTGTTTTGGGGCCAACATTCTAGCCATCCACAAGGATACTTGAGGTGAGGGTTCTCTCGTGATCCTGGCTGTACCTGATCAGGTACTCCCCATAATCAGAGGATGTTGGTCCTAGAACTGGATGTCTCCTGGCCTCCCTTAAGACCAAGGCTCCAGGGCAGGGCAATGTCCACTCCCTTTCATACTTGCTCTGTCCCCACAGGGACCTTTGCTGTCATGTCTGTGATGGTGGGCAGTGTGACAGAATCCCTCGTCCCAAGTAACACAACCAGTGAAGCAATCAGAGACACTGTCCAGGCTGACCGGGTGCAGGTGGCCTCTACGCTCAGTGTCCTGGTTGGCCTATTCCAGGTGAGGGGCAGTAGGAGTGAGTGAACCCCCCATGGCCACCCTGCCCCCTCCATCCTTACCCCTCACCAGTTCCTTTAACTGTCTGACCATCATTCGTCCCTCTTGTATCCCATCTGCCCTGGGCTCCGGCCACCCTTAGTACTCCCACCTCACCTGACTGCCTCCTGCTCCCTACAGGTGGGGATGGGCCTAGCCCACTTCGGCTTTGTGGTCACCTACCTTTCAGAGCCTCTGGTCCGTGGCTATACTACAGCTGCATCTGTGCAGGTCTTGGTATCGCAGCTCAAGTATGTGTTTGGCCTTCATCTAAGCAGCCGCTCTGGACCTCTGTCTCTCATTTATGTGAGTTAAGGTGGGAGGCAGGATGATGGATGGGGGTGCTCCACAATCTTGAGTACTGGCTGTGACCCCTGTCTCGCCACCAGACAGTGCTGGAGGTCTGCTGGAAGCTTCCCCAGAGTGTGGTCGGCACCATCATCACTGCACTTGTGGCGGGTGTAGTGCTTGTAGCGGTGAAACTGTTGAATGACAAGCTGCAGCGTTACTTGCCCCTACCGCTGCCTGGGGAACTACTCACGGTTAGGTGGTCAGGGAAAAAGGGAAAGTGAGGGTATATCCCTGCTAAGTGGGCAGCCTTCACCTATTCGAGGGACAGCTCGGGTGGGCCCTGCCAGGGTAGGAAGGGAGTTGCCTGGGAGTTGAAGGGCCTTTACAACAGAAAGCCCCCGTATTAGTATCTCCCTCTGCCCCGTGACAACATTTCCCTCTCCCCCAAATGGTCATGTCTGTCTCTCACCCTATTGTCATCCTCTACTCACCCCTCTGAAGAATTTTCCCTAGCATCTCCCTTCTCACCCCAAAGTGGTTTATTCACCCCCCTACCTCCCCCTCCCAACCCCCGCGAATGGATGATACCAGTCCCTCTCTTTCCTGTTTCCACTCTCTCCCTCACCTTACACCACCCTCTTCCCCCAGCTCATAGGGGCCACAGGCATCTCCTACGGTGTGGGCCTGCAGGAAAAATTTGGGGTGGATGTTGTGGGCAGCATCCCTGCAGGGTGAGTATTGGTCCTCTGTCAGGTCAGGGAGGGTTAGGTGCCAAAGCCAGGACCTTCCTTTGGCCTTATAGATGCTCCCCCACAGGCTGGTCCCCCCAGTGGCTCCCAACCCCAAGCTGTTTGCACAGCTTGTGGGAAATGCCTTCGCCATCGCCGTGGTTGGGTTCGCCATTGCCATCTCGCTGGGGAAGATCTTCGCCATGAGGCATGGCTACCGGGTGGACAGCAACCAGGTCTGGGGGATGGGAGATATGTAGGGGTCAGCCAAGACTACAGGGGCATGGGGACTGAGAAGATGGAGGGTCATATGGGAGACAGGTGTTCCAGGGCCATGTGAGACTAGTCTTTGGGTGCTATTAAACAGAGATGAGGGTCGGGACTGTATTGATCTAGACACAATGTGGAAATGACCAGGCACTGCTAGGGAAGTCTTCTCATACCCGCACCCCTCCCTTTAGGAGCTGGTGGCCCTTGGCCTCAGTAACTTCATCGGGGGCATCTTCCAGTGTTTCCCCATCAGCTGCTCCATGTCTCGGAGCCTGGTAATGGAGAACACTGGAGGAAACACACAGGTGGGCTGTGGATGTGTGTATGTCTGTCTTATCTGTGCACCCACATACTGCTTTGCCACTTTGTCCACCTCCTGCCTCTCGCTCATCCCTACCCACCACCTCGCTCACCCCTACTTAACCCTGCTCTCCCCTCTCCCTAACCCCCTTCCCCATGCATATCCCTATCCCTACTCACTCCAAGTCTCCCTTGCTCATCCCGACCCTACAGGTGGCCGGAGCTGTCTCTTCTCTCTTCATCCTCATCATCATTCTCAAACTTGGTGAACTTTTTCAAGATCTGCCCAAGGTGAGTACTCTTACCCTTAATCATCCGGGTTGGGGCACCTTGGCCTGGCCTAGGCTCAAATCAGCCAGTCAGGTTCCAGGGGAGGGACAGGGATTCAAGGTCATGTCCTGTGTTTCAGGGTTGAGATCTTAAGGGAGAGAAGCAGAGTCAAGGAAGTGTCTGGGGTTAGACCCTTTCAGACTCTGAGCTGGGACAGGGGTCAACAGTAGTCAGTATCAGCTGGGATTATGTGCAGGTGCTTGGGGTCAGTCTGGTCATGCTCTAGTGTTTGCTCTTGTCATGATCTGTTATCTCCCCACCCAGGCAGTCTTGGCGGCCACCATTATTGTGAACCTAAAGGGCATGTTGATGCAGTTTAAGGACATATGCTCCCTCTGGAAGACAAATCGAATCGATCTGGTAAGAGGCCTGGGAGCCTAGGGACGGAAGTGGGGAAGCTTCTAGACCCTGTTGACTGTGGCTATTCTGTTCTCAGCTCATCTGGCTGGTGACCTTTGTGTCCACCATCCTGCTAAACCTGGACCTTGGCCTGGTAGTTGCAGTGGTCTTCTCTCTGCTGCTCATGGTGGTCCGCACACAGCTGTGAGTCAACCCTTATTGCCTGCTCCCCACAACCCTCCCCATATTTTTGGGTTGATCACACACTCATTAGTAGCCCCTTTCTTTTCCCCCTCACCTCCTGCCTCATTTCAAGCTCACTCTCCTCTACACAGACCCCAGTACTCTGTCCTGGGGCAGGTGCCAGACACGGATGTTTATAGAGATGTGGCAGAGTACGCAGAGGTGAGTGACAGAGGCTGAGAAGTGGTGTGGAGGAGGGTGGGACAGAGGCAGGATGGGTCTTTATCAGTCCCTTCCACATCTGCAGTGATATTAGGAGTTGAGCACACTTTGGCTTTGGTCCTGGGAATTTCTGAGAAGTTTGGGTCTCTGATCCCACTGGGGTCTTAGGCAACAGGAGAAGAGATGGGTCTAGGGACCCATGGGGAAGACAATCTTAGAGCCAATTGTACAAACTCCATGCTGCAGAGCGGCCTTGGATCAGGGGGGGCCAGATGGGCAGGATCCTGCAGCACTGGGGTACAGGGTCTGCTTCCTGATCTTGTCAGTGGAGTCACTAAATCCCCAACCATTCACCTCAAAGATCTTGTGCCAGGGCTGTGGAGCCTTGCAGACTAGGCACAGTGCCATCCCTCAGCCAGAGCAGAGGAGGAAGCAAGGGCTCCGAGAAGGGGGGGAGGTCAGGAGGGAACAGCCACGATGGATGGAAAAAGAAACTGGTTGGGTCCCATTGTTTAGGCTGGCATACTGAGCAGAGATGTGGGCTGAATGTGGTGAGGAGCTGGAGAGAACCTGGTGGAGACAGCAGCTTAGGAGGGTCTCAGGCTATGTACAGAGCACAGGGGTGGGGTGGAGGCCCAAGAGGAGGGCTAAGAGCTGCCAAAGCCTGGGCTCTGGGTAGTGGCAGGTGAGCAGGGGGAGGAGCTGTGGGGCTGGGCTCTGGAGGAAACCCTGCCAGCTCTGGGGATGGAATAAAGGGGTGAGGGGAAGGTAGAGGAGGTGGCCAGGATGACACCACCAGGTCTCTAGCCCAAGACTGGGCCTACAATGGCCGAGGAGCAGAGAGCTAGGGACAATGGGCATGGGGCACTCTAGGGAGCAAAGGCAGGAAAACAAGTTGCAGCCAAAGGAGGAATGTGCTCAGCCACCTCCAACTTCTACCTGTCCCAGGCTAGGGAAGTCCCCGGTGTGAAGATCTTTCGCTCTTCAGTCACCATGTATTTTGCCAATGCTGAGCTCTACAGTGATGCGCTGAAGCAAAGGGTGAGGCACGGGGTTCCCCGATGGGTGTCAGTGGCCCCTTCTTCCCTAGAACACTCACAGCCCCTTCTCTGACCTTTGCCTCCAGTGTGGTGTGGACGTTGACCACCTCATCTCCAGGAAGAAGAAGCTGCTCAAGAAGAAGGAGCTAAAGCTGAAGCGATTGCAGAAGAAGCAGCCCCAGAAACAGGCAGGGACCCCTTTCAGCCAATGACTCCTCGCACAACCTTTCCCCTTCTATTGACCTCTGCCCTGCCCTCATGCTGACTCTAACCTGACCATTCTCCTAGTCTCTAGGGCTCCTGACCTCCCTCCTTGCCTTGACTCTTCCTCCCTCCTCCTTTCTTTCTGATGCCCCAGGGACCTCCACCTCACTCCCCTGGCAGGTCAGGGCTCCAGTTGGTGTTTTCTTTTTCTCCCAACTGTCAAGACCCAATGGCAGTGTGAACCTCCACAGTCCTCTTCCATTTTTATGTCTGTTCCCAGAACTGGTCAGAACTCTGCAGCTTTCAGACAGGCTGCTGACCAAGCAGTCCCAAGTCCAGACCTACTTACTTGCTCAAAGTCAGGGAACAACACCAGGCCTACCTGGCAAGGTGTTTGCTAGGCAGTTGGGATAGCTCTTTCCCATCCCCCTTCTGTCCTAGGCTGCCTCCTCCAAGGGCACCTCATTCACCATGAATGTCAACCCTGACTTTGAAGACACTGAGATAAAAAATGTGGAGGACTCCAAGATCAAGGTGAGGTTGGAGGTGGGAGAGGAAAAGCTGACCTTGAGCTACCTGTGTCCTGGGAGGGGAGCCAAGGGCCCACCAGCTATAGGTTCAAGTCTGTGGTGCCAGCCAGCGACTAGAGGAATGGACTGATGTACAGCCTCACTCTCTTGTGGCATGCTACACAACTCTGCTTGGGACTCTCATGTCTGTAATCTGAGGCCTAGATGAAGTCTTTGAATGTGTAGATGCCACCAGACCCAGAGTCTGTGCTCTTGTGTGGAAAGAAACAATTGGATGTGTGGGGGTCAATATAGACCTCCAAGAAGACACCAAGCTCAACTGGAGAGTCCAGTGGGGTGTGGTATCTGAGTGCACGTATATGCACATGCATGCACATGCCTCTGTGCAATGCTGCTTCACTTTGTCCCTGGATCCCCGCACCTTACTCCGCTCAGAGTGACTGAGCATGGGGCAGTGGCTCCTAGCACTCTCCCTTCTCAAGTGTCCTTGTTGAGGAGCCTGGGCCTGACTGGTAACAAATGAAACAGCATGTGCATGTTTTTGTGCTCCCCTAATCCGTGCATGCTTTCCTGTGTGACCCTGTATGTCCTCCTCTCAGCATGTGTGTCTTAGCTCCCCCATGTCCCCATGTGTCCTGTGTCCTCAGTGTGCCCCCTATGTATGTGGGTGTTTACACTGGGCACATGTTCCTAATCCTAATCTGTGTGTTCCTGTCCTCCCCTCATCACAGACAGCTTGTGTAGCTTGTCCGGTTCCGCAGGAGGCAAATACAAAGGATGAGGTAGATGGTGCAGTGGTCAGCAGTCAAGGAGATGCCAAGGCCTCAGATGTGTCCACATTGAAGACCCTGGGCCTGCCTCAGCCAGACTTCCACAGCCTCATCCTGGACCTCAGTGCTCTTTCCTTTGTGGACACTGTGTCCCTCAAGAACCTGAAAAATGTGAGGGTCTGGGGCATCCCTAAGAAGGACCCAGGGGCCAGGACAAAGCTCCTCAAACCACCCTGGCCCTGTAACTTGCTCTGAGAGCCCTCTGAGCTCCCCCTCCAGACCCCTTTGCCCCACCTGTCTGAATCCTCTCCTTTCCACTGCAGATTTTCCATGACTTCCGGGAGATCGAGGTGGAGGTGTATTTGGCCGCCTGCCACAGTATGTGGGGTGGGGACAGCTGGAATGTTCTGGGGATGGGGTCTGCTAGGTGGCATGAGGAAAAAGTCTTTTTCTGGAACTAGAGGTTGTAGTGTCATGAGGGTCAGGAGTGACTGAGGGGAGTCAGCCATAGCCTTGGGCAGAGGTCATGGGGTAGCAGGGGTCACGACATTCTGCTGATGACTGGGAGCTAGGGTGTACTGGTGGTTCAGAGTCCACAGTGACCCACTTCGTGCCTACAGCTCCTGTCGTCACCCAGTTGGAGAACGGGCACTTCTTTGATGCCTCCATCACTAAGCAGCATCTCTTTGCTACTGTCCACGATGCTGTCACTTTTGCCGTCCAACATCGGAGGTCCGGCTCCATCAGCCCTACAGTGGTGAGCTGACCCCTAACTTCTGACCGGTTGATCCCTTTTTTGTATATCTCCTGCTTACCCTCACCCTGACCCTTACTCGGGGAACCCCATCCTGGTGTCCAAAGCACTGTCCCCAGTGGTTGCCCTGCTTTTGGATAAAGCTGTTTTCTCAGGGCAGAAGTCTCCTGCCCTGGGAAAGGGGTTATTCTGTGTTAGAAGAAGAAAGAATCCTTTGGAAATGACTGGAGTCTCCTCTTTTGCCTGCTCAGGCCACAAAGCTTTGACCATGCTGTGACCCTGCGTGAAACTGTCCACCTCTGCAAGATGTGACGGGAAGCCCTTGAGGTGCCCCCACCCCTAGGCCACCTTCAGGTGCCAACCAGGAGTCCCCCTGGTGTGGACACACAAACCCAACTCAGGGATGGAGGTTCTGGGACTCCAAGTTCAGTGATGCAGGCCTGGGATGGAGACCTGCAAGCAGGCTGGTGCTGGTGGGTTGTGGGAAGGGCTGATGCAAGTGTTTTGCCTTAAGAATAAAGATAGGTTTGCCTAACTCCAGGCTCTGCTGTGACTTGGTGGGGGCTTTCCGGGGGGTGGAAGCGAGAGTCCTAAGCCCTGGATCCTGATCCTTCTTGTGCCCCAAAGTGGGAACTGGAGTCAGAGGCTGAGGGGAAGATTTGGGGAGGGCTGCATCAGGCAGGGAGCTTATGAAGTAAGGGAGAGAACTGTGGGACCAGGCCCATTTATGCAGAATCTCAGCTTCATGTCCCCTCCCCCATCCCAGCCATTCTCAGCTCTCAGGGTCTGTCACCTTAGCTCTGGTGTGGTTGGAATCAGAACTGCTTCTCATTCTCAGCGAAGCCAGGCAGCAGGCCAGGCCAGAGGCCACTAGGCAGTCCCTAGAGGGAGTGTAGATGTTCACAGGTACTGCTGATCTGTAAAAAATAAGAACAAACTTAATGGATTTGCTCAGGAAAAATGCCTGTTTGTGTTATTCGATCACCTGGGCTTTCCAAGTCACTGGCAGCCAGAAAGTGTGTGCTAATTTCTACCATAAAATGCCAGCACTCAGGCATGTGGTACAGTGGATAGTGGTCAGGCCCTGGTGCTGACATGGCCTGAGTGATACTAGAATCTTCCTGTACCTCGGTTGTGCTCATCAGTAGAACTGGAGTGGTAACAGTTCCTACCTCATGGGGCTTCTAAATGAGTATTACGTAAGTCAACACCATGAAATACTTAGAACAGTCACCTGCTCCAAACATGTGAATTTTGCTGCTCATCAGGTATCAACCAGGCACTGCTGGGTACTGGGCAGAGTGGACAGAAGTTGCCCTGCTCTTGAGGTCGCTCAGGTGTCCCTTGCCCAGCTCTGCTTTTATTATGCCCCATCTGCCTCCCCCAACTCACCCCGGATCCTCAGTCCAGGAAGGAAGAGCTTTTTGTCAGCTCTGGCATAGCCATGTCTTGGCACCAGAATGCTGTCTGACACATGTCAGGTGCTTGGTAAATATTGGTTGTAAGAAGCTGATATGCTGGGGTAGGAGGAAGACTTCTAATAAGAAATTGCAGGCAGTTGCAAAACAGAGAGCTGTGTTGCCCAGGATGGTCATGGGAACAAACCTCAGGGAAGAGCTGCCACCTGATCAGAGACTCCAAGTGTGGGAAGATGTCTAGAAGTGGGGAGCAGCATTCCTGGCCTTGGAAACAGCAAGTATGTTCAGGGAACATGAGGGAGGCCTGTGTGGCTGAAGCAGCTAGATTTGATGGGAAAGAGCCTGTCTCACAGGTCCGGGTGAGGCCTTCAGGCTTTATTCGCAGAGGGGAGCTGCTGGTGGTTTGGATCAAAGGTCTGACTTCATCTGCTCCACGTAGTTTAAGCACTTACTCTGCTGCAGTGTACACCGTGGGACTGCGGTGGGGGGAGGAGAGGAGCTTGCTCAAAGACAGCAGCTAGTTTTAGGGGCTGCAGGGATTGAGGAGGTCTGGGAGAAAAAGCCCTGGTCACACTGTGGGTTAGGTGTTAGGCTGCTAACAGCAAGGTCAGTGGTTCAAACACAGCAGCCATTCTGCTGAAGAAGGATGAGGCTATATAGGATCACTATGAGTTAGAATCAATTAGACGGCAGTGGGTTCGGAGGTAGTTCTGGAGGAAGGGAGGGAAGTAGAGAGGGAGAGAAAGGAGATACTTCAGTCTTGGGCCAGGGCCAACCCATTAAATGCAAGAGTGAGGCCCAGGGCCCCAAGCCTGTCACCCTCCCCTAGCCCTGGAATCCTGCCCCACTTAGCTCCCCACTGTTGCCAAACCAAAACTAGAGTTTGCCACCTGTCACTGTAGTCAGTCACAGAGATGGGGAGAGATCCAACCCAAGCTTTAGTAACAGAAAGCCAGCAGTCTGGAGGACGGAGGGAGTAATTTCTCAAGATCGTCCTGTCCATCATGAAAAGCAGGCACATTATATAGGATAAATTACATTTGGGTATAAGCTTTAGCTTAACATCAAGAGAACATTCTTTGGGGAAAAGAAACAATAAATCAATAAACTTCCTTAAACATTTTACCTTTAGGATCTCAGCTGCTTAATTCCTGAGATTAAACTATCTGGGTGGGTTTAAGCATGTCCTATTCTCCTGGAGTCCTAGTGTGGCGCCAGATTGCAAAGCCATTTGAATTGCAAGGTAGGCAGTTCAAGCTCACCAGCTGATCCTCGGAAACCCTGTACAGGGTCGCTATGGGTCAGAACAGACTCGATGGCACTTAACAACAACATTCTCCCTCTAAGACCATAAAATCATCTTAGCTAAAATATAAACTTCTCAGTTGTTGGATCCTAATTTGAGACTTAATGACTAAACCGATTCCATTTTGTTTCAGTTTGTAGCTCCATGCTATTGTCACCATCACCCGTTTTCTTGTCCTGGGCCCCCGGCTAGAACCTCTTGTCTTAGAACCCAAAGCCAGAGATGCTGCTGGGGGAGGGGTATTGGCTGGTTGCCAGGCACCCAGGTTCTGGGCCCCAGAGACTTACAGCAGCCATGCTGCACGCACTGTCTCTGTCCTTACGGCCCTTACTGCTCCTGATGGCCATGTCTACCCCTGCGCATGCCTGGTCACGGCCCCTCTGGTACCAGGTGGGGCTGGACTTGCAGCCCTGGGGCTGCCAGCCCAATAGCCTGGAGGGTTGTGGGGGTAACCTGGGCTGTCCTGGCCATTGGATGGGTCTGGGCATGTCATATCACATCTACCCCGTGGCTGGAGTCACTGTCACCACCACTATGATGCTGATCATCAGCCGAGTGATGCTGAAGCGGCGACGTACATTGGTCACCAAAGGCCAGGTGAGGAGACCACTGCTCTGTCCTCCCTGCCCCTCAACTCTGCTAGCATCCAACACCTATAGCCTTCACCTAGTCCTTCCCATCGGCCATGGGCCTTCTGATTCTCCCCACTTACACATCTGTCCACACATCTTCAAGAAGCCCATGTCCTCCTACCCATCAGCCCCTGACCATGCCCCATAACCAGTACCCTGTTACCGTCCTTCCACCTTTGGTATTCCTGCTTGTCACTCAGCCCCCATGGACCACCCTTAGCCAACAATAGGTCTTCACTGACCCTCCATAGCCCTAAGCCCCCACCCCTTTTAGGCACTGTCCCCCCAACCCACCCATCTGTGCTGCTCATCACTGCACCCCTGTCTTGTCCCTATGCTCCCTCTCATTCCTACTTCTTGGTCCTAGCCTCAGCATACACAGATGGCTCCTGACTCCTGTGGACCCTGGAAACGGCGAACCCCGATCTCAGACCACACCTTACTCCTGGGTGTCCTGCACATGATGGATGCTCTCCTGATTCATATAGAGAGCCACCTGCAGCGTCTAGCCACCCAACCGCATAAGCAAATAAAGGGGGCTCCCACCCAGAGTGGGGGACCCAGCACCTGACTCTCTTTGCCAGCTGGTATGGATGGCCTGAGGTACTGGACCTGGGTTAGACTTGTGTGCCATTTCTCCCTGAGTCTGTCTGGATCCCATGCCCATCCTATGTCCATTCCTCAGAATCCTCTGACTTACTGAGGTACTTGTGCAGGACTGCACCTTAGTACCCAGAATACATGAGTGGTTAGTGGGTCCCAGGCTAGCTCATCACCTCCACCAACTGACCCCTTTTCCCTAAGGGCCCTACCTCTAACAACTTGCCACTGTTCCTCTGGTCTGACTAGCCCCTGGGAACCGCTACTGTGGTGGGATAAGACGTGAGTGTCAGGGTGGTCCAGGGAAGGCTACCTGGGGAGGTATACCCTGGCTGGATCGCAGGAAGAATGCATATGGAGAAGGCTACTCTGACAGAGGCTCCCGTCTGAGCGTTACTCCATGCATATTGGTCAGGTGAGCCGTTCCCAGCGCCAGGCAAGCAATCCAGTTTCTACCATGTTCACTGGGAGCTAGAGAGGAGAGACCTGGAGGGCTGAAAAGTGTAGGGGGCAGTGGTGAGACTGAAGCCAGACCCTGAGGAGCTATGACCGGAGCTTCCAGTCACAGTAGGGTCACACCTACCCTCTTGTTTTATACCCCCAGTACCACCACTGAGAGGCTACAGGGCCGCTATCCTTATAGCTTTCATCCTACTAGCAAAAAGCATTGGGATCTGATTTCCTTTGTCCCTGGCACTGCAAGGAAGAGGAGCAGGGTAGCGGTGTAGTTGCTCTGAATTCCAATGGCAGTCACTTCCTGGCCCCTTGACTCCTGTCTGCTTCCCCTTGTTATGATCCAGTAGCCCCAGCCTGGATGGAACCACATAGGCGGCCACAGTTGCCTTCATCTTTATTGCTGTTGTTAGGTGCCGTTCAGTCAGTTCCAACCTATAGTGACCCTATCTGTGTACAACAGAATGAAACACCATCCTGTCCTGCGCCATCCTCACAATTGCTGCTATGCTTAAGTCCATTGTTGCTGCGACTGTGCCAGTCCATCTCATTGGGGGTCTCCCCAATGAGATGCCCACTGAAGGTTAAGTTTTAACCTCTCCCTCCGTTAGGTTCACGTCTGCATTCTCACTCTACAATGTTTATTAAGTACCTACTGTTTGTGACTTTGTAGGATAAATACCGGACTATAATCACAAAGTCAATGGTTCAAACACACCAGCTGCTCCTTGGAAACCCTATACAGGGTTGCTATGAGTTAGAACCGACTCGACAGCACTTAACAACTGTTTGTGGACCCTGTAGTGAATGCTAGTGTGGGACTTATGTACGGCCACTAATGGCTCCACCCTCATCTTTTCAGGTTCCGGTAGGGGTGGGGTGAAACAGGCTCAAAAAGGCAATTACTCTTCAGAGGCTCTGGCCCAATTGGGGTGGAGCAGGGCCAAGCTGAGTGCTGGGACCTGTAGATAGGTGGGCATAGAGAACAGCGAGAGTGTGCATTCAGAAGAATAAATGTGGGTAAGGGTATAGTGGCTTCACCGGTTCCCGGAACTGTAAGTTACTCAGGACTTCATGATGGAAAAGAGACTTTAAAGGGCAGAAGGAAGTGGGTTGGGGAGGAGCAAGACTTGGGTGACTCCTGCCAAAGGAAAGGTGGGCAACAGAATGTCCCCATCAAAGATGCCCTGCGCCCTAAGCCCTGGAACCTGTAAATATGTTACATTATGTGACAAAATGAATTTTGCAGGTGGAATTAAGGTTAAGGATCTTAAAATAGGGAGATCATCCTGGATTATTCAGATGAACCCAATGAAATTACAAGAGCCCTTAAAAGCAGATGAGGCAAGGGGAAGAATTGAGTGGCGATGTTCAAAGTGTGAGGTGAATTCTACCCTGCCTTGCTGGCTTTGAAGATGATGGAAGGGGACAGGTCATGAACCAACAAATTTAGGTGGCCTCTAGAAACTAGGAATGGCTCTCAACTGATTTCCAGTTGAGTGGGTGGGGGTGGCTGGATTGGAAGGAGTTAAGAGAGAGTGGGAGAAGAGGAAATGGAGGCAGTGGACATGGCCAAATCTGGTGGGGACTTAGCTTAGAAGGCGGTATAGAACGGGCTGGTTGCTGGCAGGAGTTGTGGGGCTAAGGGGGAGTATTCACAGCCTTTGCTCTAAATTCTGCAGGAGGCTTTATATGATTAAGCTGGGTGAGCTACAGGGCACCAGAGCTCAGGTGCCCACCCTAAAGGTAGCTGGCATCTTAATAGGGTCTTGCATATATAAGGAAACATTTATTTTCATCCCTTTTGTCCCCACATGGTACTTATACTTGCATACATACCTGCATACATTCTTGTCGTTGCTGTTAAGTGCTGTGGAGTTGGTTCTGACTCATAGCAACCCTGTATAGCAAGAATGGAGAACGTTCAGCCATGGGCCACATGAGGCCCGCAAAAATCATTTGGTCTGGTCCTCCCAAAGAAACCACAGTTCCAAGCATCACATTGTTGTTGTTGTTAACTGCCCTGGGGTTGGTCCCAAATCATAGCAACCCTGCATAAGGCTTTCAAGTGGATTTGAAGTGCCAGCCTTGTGGTTCACAGTCCTATGCTTATCCAATAGCACCACACCAGTTGAGTTAATTAAATGTTTGACCGAATATAGTAGGTTCATTTTTAA